CTAAAAATGTAAAAATATATAAAAAGTTGTTGAAAAATATTTTTACTTTTCTAAAAATTGTTATTTAAATTAATTTTTTATTTACAAAAAAATGTACTAAACTTAATTAAAATCAAGATAAAAAATAAAGTAAACAAGTATAAATATATATTCAAAAAAACTAAGGAACCAAACATGCTTAAGGACTAATGGTGTTTAAACCTTTTCAAAAAACATGTACAAAATTTAATTTTATAGCTTTTTCATTTATACAAAGACATGTAATCTATAATGTGTGTTTCTGTTTTGCAATAACATAATGAATAAACAGTTTGAAGTTGTTACATTTCTAGAATATTATATTCTAATTTCTAATATGAAATTAGTCGCTAATTTCTAGAATATAATATTTATTATTTTAACTAAGTACACATGGAAATCCAATGTGTATTGGAAAACAAAATGGGAATAGAAAATTACTATACAAATGCAATGCGAATAAAAAATAACTATAAGAAAATTAAAACTTTAGAAAATTTTTAATTTTGTGAATACTTATAAAGTATTCAAAAAAGTAAGAAATTAAGTCAGCGATTTATTTTTTAGTTCTAAAACAATAACTTATAAGCACTTGTCTTTTTGTTTTACCATAAATAGTTTAAAAAAATTGATTAGGCGCAAATAATGAAAAGAAATAGAAAAATATAAAGATTTACTTCAATGACATAGTATCATGAGTGTGCTGTTGCACTTCAAAACATCTGTTAACAAAAAAACATACAAAAAATAGAAATCTTTTTATGAGCATGTTCTCACCAAATTTCAAACCTCATGGTCGCTCCCACAAAAATCATCTTGAGCACTCATAATCACACATGATGATGACAATTTTAAAGGTGCAAATGCCTAATCAGGGTGTTAGCCAGCCCAATGGCACTGCATAAAATGCAGAGTTCCCAAAATTCAATGACTTTTTCAATAAAAATTCCCAATATTTTCAGAATATTAACAATTAATATTCCCAATACTGCATAAAAATGCAGTAAAAAATATATTCCAGGCTAACACCCTGTGTGTGTGTGTGTGTGTATATATATATATATATATATATATATATATATATATATATATATATATATATATATATATATATATATATATATATATATATATATATATAAATAAAGCTAAACTTATCTACTTGGAAACAAAAAACAATTCTTAAAAAAGAAAACAAAATTTTAATGAAATATCAAGTTTAATATAAAATTTAATAATTAAAAAAACTTAAAAAAAAAAAAATTATAAAATTTTTATTCAACTTTTGTATTCTTTTTTTTTTTTGAGTCGCTGTTGAGAAAAAAATTATCTTTTATAACAATTTAACAATTGAAAGTTTTAATTCGTAATTTATTCACAATTTTTATCAGTCCATGTAATTAAGAAACTATTTTGCTATGCACACTAGAATTATAAAAAATTTTGTTATCTTTTTTTCTTACATTTATTTGTTTACTACGTATATTATTCGTTTTAACACCTTTTTGCTTTTAAAATTTTTTTAGCTATATTTGACGTTTTTTCTCAATACTTATTTAATAGGAAAATAAGAAAATAAATTGTTATTTATTTGTAAAAAATATTATTTGATTAATAAATTTTATTAATGAAGGAATTATTTAAATAAAGGAATAACAAAGTTTCTTTAATAAATGTATTTATTTTGTATTTGATGTATGTCTGAAATTGTTTCTTTTTATATTGCCCAATTTTCAATGTTAATACGAATTACTAGAGATAATGAACAAAACGATTGCTCTGTTTAAAAAAATATATTTAAAAACTTAAAAAAAGTTTTAAATAGGCTCCTAAAAATAAATAGCAATTAGTTTTCTTGCTTTCTCGTGCATTGATAAAAACAGTAAAGTATAGCAAAAACATTTGAAAAACAAATTTAAAAGTTGTCAGTGTTTCTAGCGCAATTTATAAAGTATTTCCTTTATATATTGACTGAAAAAGTAGCGAAAAAATTGTATATAAAAAAATATTTTTATTTTCGTTATACTCTCATCTACATTTTTCCTCGATTTGTATCAATTTTGGTAATGGAAAATAACAAACGCTCTAAAAATAAGAAAATGAAAACAGTAAATATTTAGGTATATTATTCTTTTGACAACAATTTTTTTTTTTGTTGTTGTTAAATTTTTTTAGTTTACTGTATTTAGATATCTATTTCATATAGTCATTGATTCTTTTCTTTGAGTATTGCTGACTTATTCTCTAATTTCTTATAATATATACATATATATATTTATAATATATACTTTTAAGTTTTCCAAAAAAATTATTTTAAGCATGGAGGTACAATATGGGTGACTGCAGGCGCTTGATATATATATATATATATATATATATATATATATATATATATATATATATATATATATATATATATATATATATATATATATATATATATGTATATATATATATATACATATACATATACATATACATATATATATATATATATATATATATATATACATATATATATATATATAAGATTTTAAAAAAAAAAAAAAAAAAACATCTTTGCTTCAAAAAAGGCTGCAAGCAACCACTAGTTAGTGTTGGAAGTTACTGGAAAAGAAAAGATGAAGATTGTAGAACAAGATAACAATTGTCAGATGACTTAAAAGATTGCAAATTATATGAATCAGGAAAGCAAGATGAAGGAAGCGAATTCCAAAGAACTGATGTTCAAGGAAAAAAAAAAGACAATTATGAGTTTTTAGAGCACTTAGTAACAGTAACAGAATAAGGATGAGAACTAATTGAATGAAGAGTAACACGAGAATGAATTTTAGTAGATGGCACAAGAGATGCTAGCTCTTGTGTTTGTAGAAAAGAGAAAGAGAAGCAACATAACGACGATGTGATAAAAGTTGAAGGTTATGTGCATGAGAAGGTCCTACTAAGTTTACAATGCGTTTTTGCACCTTGTCTAAAAGAGAAAGGGCATCATTAGAAGATCCGCCCCAGATATGGCAACAGTATTCCATACAAGGCCAGATTTATAGTAGCAACACTCTGCGTAAGTTTTGCAGTAAAAAAATTAAAATTAAACTTCAGAATATTTTTATTTTGAAAAAAATAAACTAAAAAAATTCAGTTTTTAAAAACATTCAGAATATTTTTATAAACATTGAGAATGTTTTTATTAACATTCTAGTCTTTTATTTTGGGTTTTTGTAGTTTTTTTTTAAAAACATTAAATTTAATTGTTTCCTCAATTAAATTAATGTGCTTTGTGCTTAATTTTTCTAGTTTTATCTGATGATTTATAGAATGAATTAATATTAAAGTTTAAATCATAATCTTTAACAATAATTTTAAAAATGCTAATAATATGATTTTGCAATAAGATTTTATATCATAACTCAAGATCAACGTAAATAACAGCTATATAGTTTTCATTGAATAACAGCTATATAGTTTAGTGATCAAGATAGAGTTTATGGTTTTTAAAAAGCTAAAAATTTAAAGACTGGAAGCATTTTCAGATATGGCGATTTGCTATCACTCAATTTGAGACCTGATATGTGTTTTTTTTTTCATATATTTTATTTTTTTTATATTTTTATTTTACGCTAATTTTTTTTTTATACATATTTTTTATTTAATATTTTGTTATAAACATATATATTTTTTATAATTATATTTATTTTTATTTTACTATTTTATATTATTATTATATATTTTTTATCTATTTACAAAAACAATTATTTACAGAAATATAATTTTATTTAAACCTAGCCCAAACCCTGACCTTAACCAAACCCTCAGTCAATTTAGCAGCACTCCAACCTACATACTAAGTGTCACATTCCTACTAAAAAGTATAATCAAAGAACCATTGAATATTTTATTAATCATGAATACAAACTTTATTACTTACAAATATTTTATAACTTTGTAATCATTTATATTGTAATAATTTTGGGCATATTTACAAAAAAGTTTTCTTCTTATACAAAATAATTTGGTGAAATAATTTACTTATACAAAATAATTTTAAATAATAATTCTTCTTATTTAAAATAATTTTACCAGTAATAAAGAGTTGTAAAGCTTTATTAAACATAAAAGCATGTTTATTTATTATATTACTTTCTTTTTTAATACAATAAATAACTGAGATTTTAGGAGTAGGTTCTTTATTTATTTTCTGAGTTGGTTCTTTATCTAGTTCACAGTTGTCAAAATGAATTCAAGTATCTTACTACAGAGCTAACCAGTTCATTTTTTTACTTATAAAAAGTCGATTTCTTGCACAAAATTTGCATAAAATAAAAAACTAGCTATCTCTGTAGTAACATAATTCAATCCATTAATAATTCCGCACTGAATTAAAGAAGAATCTAACAATCATGCAAAAGCATTTTTTGGGTTTTATTGGTTAAATAGTTTAATATATTATGAAGCTTGATTTTTATCAAAAGCATTTCAAAAATATGTATTTTTTTTTTAACCATGATATTCCCTCTTTTAAATAAAAAAAACTTGAATTCATTTTCTTTTAATTGGGAACTATAACTTAATTCTGTAGAAAAATATTGAAAAAGTTAAAATTGGAAAGATAAGTAAAATCCTATTGATAAATTGCATATTTTTAAAAAATGCTTTGAAAAAACCAAACTAATTTAAACTGATTTAAAGAGAAAATTAATAGTTAACAAATTAATACCTTTAAACTTTGATTTTCTTGTTAAATATAATATTTGATTTTCTTGTTAAATATAATATTTTTGATTATTTATGAATTTTATTATGAGAAACTTATTAATTTTGATGCTTTAAGTAAGATTTTAATTAAGTAATAATATAAATACAATATTTAAATTAGATTTATAACTCGTTTATGCTCTTGAGATATGACTATTTTTATTGTGCTTCATAAAAATAAGAAATTATTACTTTATTATAATTGTTGTTGTTATTTTCAGTGATGGAAC